CCCCTTGGAATGAAGACCAGGCAGCGCTATTTATATACAGAGGACATGAAATAGAGGAAACCAGACTCATCCGTTGCCAGTGGATAAATTGGAAGAAGGTATGGGGTAAGGGGGCAGTACTTAAAAGATTAAGAAAATACCTGTGGGGAAGAGCTAAGGAAATAGGCATATTCAGTCAAAAAAAAAAAAACCCAGCACACCAGCTGAGAAGAGAGGAATCTGTCTGCAGGAATCTAAGAGATGCTCTACAGAAGACATGAGCCAATTATTTTCAGTTAACAGAACAGAGTAGTAGTAATATGTATGAGACAAGCAGTGGGAAACTTCGGGTTGACTGTTTCCTGAAACCTGTAACATCTGCACAGTAGGAGGAGCCGCCGGCAAAAGCAGCAGAACTGCCTCTGGTGGAGAAGGGGCTTGTGTCTCTCTCTGGGTTTTGCTGGTTTGTCCTCATTAGCCCAATGAAAAATAACTCAAGGAGCAAACCCCAGCAAAGGAGAAGAGCTAACTAAACTGGAACTTCAATTATTTCAGAGTAACTAAACTGTAACTATACTGTTTCATATAAGAAAAAATGTATCCTGACTACTCATAAATCAGTTGTTTGGACTGGAAGTAGGATATTTCTAGTCATTAAAGCAGTCTGTTTCTAGCTCACCATCCAATGTGGCAGCAAGGATGGGATTCAGAAAACATCTGCATAAACTAAAGGAGACTGATATTGTGGTTTTGTCAGTTTGGTGACAGGGACATAGGACTTTTATTATCCTGCAGAAATTTGGATTCCTAGAGCCTATATTCCTAAAACTGTTAGGGAGGGAGCCTTGCTGGCAGCTAAGGGATCACACAGTTTCACTTTCCACTTCTCTGTAAAAGGGAATGGAATCTCTTTCGCTTAACAAAAAGAGGAGCTGATGAGACACAGCATGATGATTTAGGGCTCAGCTCCTGAGAGAGCTGTATGTTTCAACTGGAATCTTTTCTTAGCAAGGCTTGTGTGATCAGCCCTTCTCCCCTAAAGAAAACAGTGTCAATTGAGAGAGATTCACTGAGGGAAATGAGTGAATTGTAGGGAAAAAATCCTACAGGGAAGGTCATGGCTACTTGTTTCTGATTGGGGCCTCAAGTAATGACTCTGAATTAACATCCATGATTGCTGTAGCATTAAGACGACATTGATGCACAATAATGTAAAAACCACTTGATGGTGATGGGTGCTGTGGAGGAAATAATGGGGTTTTGACACACAGGAAAATACAGCATGTCCTTTTCTGCAAAGGGGTTATTTACATGTTCAAGGTGAATGGTGTTACTGGAGGAAAACAGGGCATCTCTTCAGTCTGCAACTGCTGCTGTTAAGATTCCTGTTGCATAGATACTGAAGTCCTAATTTACTCTTGTTGATAGCTGGTAGTTTGGTCTGGAGAATATACGTTGCAAACTGTCTTCTCTTTACCTTTGCTGTTATACCTTTGTACAAGATTTCTGTTCAGTAGCACTAATTTACCCGTTAAAGTAAAGCCCAGACTCTGCTGTGTTGCACGCAGGTAACCGAGCAGCGTGTGCCGTGCAGGGGGAGGCAGGGGATGGAGCAGGAGTGTTAGAACAAGCCCAGCACAGTAGGTGGCAGAAAGCAGAAGCACAGCAGCTAACTTGGCCTGCCTGAAGATGGTGGGAAATTTCCAGCTGGAACAGCTTTAATGATTAAATGAGGTGTCTGGAAAGTTTTGCACAACGTGAGCTTGATGGACTTCAGGGTGTATTGCAAAAGCCATTTATTTGATGGCTTGGGTAGCTGTTCTGTAAGGCTTTACAGGAGGAAAGACAGGTTCTTCCTTTGGAGTTTTGATATGAGCTGGGAGGAAGATTGTGGGGAAGTCTGCATTTTCCACTGACTTAATTGTGTTAAACTGCCCGCCCTTTCGGGACTTAGCTCTTGTGAGATATTATGAACTGCAGAACTTGAATTAGCAGCACATCTTTTGGCCTAGTGAAGAAAAGACCTGAAAAGTTGGGAGCAAGTGGTGAACTACAGGCACTTTCTTTTCATGACTGCTTGAGTTAATCCACTATTTATATGTAATTATGTTTTGCTGCTGGATGGTTATCGTTTGTGTCTGTGAGCCAAAGTATCTCTGGGGCACTCTGGAGTTCTTCATATAGGGATTTAATTATTTAAGTGATTACCTCTTATAAAATATTTTAGTTGCTTCCAGGGGTTGACACAGGTTTCTGCATGATGGTATGCTGTGTGCTAGAAACCAATTTAAAGTGCCAGAATTCACAATGTTTAAAGCTTCTTGACTGTCAAGGAGGGGCTTTCACGGTTACCTTGCAATTATTGCCCCTTATCCCTAAGTTTGAAAGCCTCCTGTGGAAATGACCGCAACTAATATAGCTGTGATATTGACCTAGAGAATTTGTTTGTACTTAAAAGCAGACCAAGGGTAAGTTGTTGAATCCCACACACATGACCATCATCTGTTTGGGAGAAAAGAAGTAAAAGCTTGGGACTTTGAGATATTTTTTTTATTTTGTTGGGTTTTTTTCCTCCACATGTGTTCAATGTTTGCTTCTAAAGTCCTTTACGTAGTTCTGCACTGCAGTCATTCAGCAGTGGGCCTGTTAATGCATACAGTGTGCCCTTCCAGCAAAGCCTTTAAGTTGTTTTCACTGTAGCATACAGCTGCCTTGGAAAGATTTAAACTGCACCAAAAATTAAAGGATTTTTTCCAGTTCACCTGGAGGGAAAAAATGAGCATCGTTTTCTTGCCAGGAGATGAAAGAAAAAGAGAAAAAGTATTTTGGGGCTACACATCAGAGCGCTTATTTACAGTAGTTCTCATCATGGCATTTAACTTGCCCTCTGTTGAATCTTCATTTTTCATGTATCAGACACCTACAGCATAGAGCTCTACTGAGCAGAAAATGCAGTTTGTTCATATATTTTCAAAAACAAGATTCAGATGAATTGAAATGGGAAACAGCAACAAATATTTTTACATCTTTTTTTCATTGCAAAAGAAACCGTTGCTTATTCTACTGAAATAACTTCTACTTCAAACCTCAGTCTGTGCATCAATCATGTTAGACGTTTATTAAAAAAATAATAAAATCAAGACTCAGCAATTTATTCTTCAAAGGTTAATTTGTTCTACACCTCATCTAGGTAAATGTGCCCTGCTTTACAGACGAAGACAGTCATGCAAAGGTGTCTGATTCGAATGTCTTATTGTCGGTATCTCTCATTGATTTTCTGTGATTCCTTGTGCTGAAAGTTAAGCCAGGTTTATCTGCATCAGTGCAAGGCTCGGATTGTACCGGAGGTTGGGCACAATATCTGCACCTAAGAAGTAATTATAGCTCAGGAGACTTGGCATCCAATTGTCTGAGGAAATAAGTGGACACACCATAAAACACTGATCATTTTCAAGGAGAGGATCTCTCATGGACATAAATAAATCCACCATAAGTAGCCAGTTCACTTCTCACTCCTGTTAAATTCTGTGTTATAGAAGCACAGTGACACTGTTTTCTTACTTTGCTGTCATGCAAACAGTGGAGTGAGTTTCAATGGACAATTGGGGTTCTGTTGTCCAAGCCTGGGCACACCTCTCGATGGGAATGGAAGTGACTGAAACTCCCCCATAGAGCTGCAGGCTGCTGTAAAATGTCATCTCACTTGGGAGCTGTTGCTGTTTTCCTTTCTGTTCTTTTATTTGGAAAATTCTCAATATTCCAGCAAGTCCTGGAGGCACAGACTTAGGATTTTGTAATAGGGAAAAGGAGGAACGCCTCTCGAGACACAGCAAAAAGCTGAAGTGTTTCCGAGTGTCTCTACTTAAAACGGTACCAACTGCTACTGTGACTTTTATTTATGTATCTCAAAGCCTTGCTCTGAAGCTAATAGCGTGTTGGTAAATAAAGGAGTAGGTGAAATTATTTTATGATGTATGTGAGAAGTGGGTAAAACTTTTGTGCCAGATTAAAGGTGGCAAAAATTCCCTTGCCCTCGGCACAGCTCTGACAGCAGCACAAAGGGAGCTATCAGCAGGTTACTTCGGGTTTTGTGTAACTGGAGTTGGAGATCAGAGATGAGATTTTCTCTAGTTTGAGTGGAAGAGGGAGGAGATTCTCACTTCACAGGCATCCAGTGCAGCTCACCATTGCTTTTTAAGCCCAAGGGTGTTGAATGGGAAAAGCTATTAAAAGAAACCCTCAAGATGAAGATAAACTCGTAGAACTATAGACTTCCATAGCTGATCCTGTCCTACAAACCCTTTTAAAGGTCAGTGAAGAGAAACAGGCATTTCTGCAGGGCAATCCTTTTTCTGATCTCTGTTATATGGCCACCTTAGGATGGAGGGAATTATACCCTGGAAGTGACTGTTCTTCTTCTTTGACTGTACAACGAGTCTAGACAACCAGCTCAGACCAGGTCTTTACAGTAAAGGAATCCACAAGTTGGGTAACATCATCTTCCCATCAGGCATTTGAACCAGGAAAGAGGAGGATACTCCTTCAAAAAGTATTTTCCCTTCTTGCAGAGTATGGGATGGGGCTGAGATTATCTGCAGGCCTGGAGCTTGGTGCTGTTTTAATGGTGTAATAGTGACCTGGATTCCTGCCAGCCTGACAAACACACTTGCTGGTAGGCAAGGAGTCTTTTCAAACCTGTGGATAAGGCTTGGAGGTCCTTGGTTTATGCCACAGTTATACTTCTGAAAGTCATCACTTGTCACCTCTGTATTTTTAGTAGTGATTTTATTAAAAAATTCCCATTGTTCTGCCTACAAGAAACAAAATCAGAAACAAATGCAAGAGTGTTCCGGAGAGTTCCTGTTTTATCTGGCAATGGGATCACAAATACTCTGTTTTGGTAGTAGGTGATAGATGAGCCCCAGCTTATTACAACAGGGGATCTCTGAGAGATCACTGGAGCTGGCCATCAGACAAAGCACAGTTGGGACAGAGTCTCAATGACCAAATTTTTCTTCCAGAAATGGCAGTGTGTGGAAGATGCCAGTGGAAAGCTCAAGCTACACAAGTGCAAGGGAATGGCGAGCTTGGCAGCTGCAGGCAACAGCAAAGGCACCTCCAATATTTTGCCCAAGTATTACAGCAGGAATAGTGAAGACTGCAATTGTGAAGAGAACGAATACAAGCTGAGCCACGTCGGGCGGAGGAAGAAACTCTTCTCCAAGAAAAGTAAGCACACCCACTGTATCTTCTGTCTCTGCCTTAGGAGAACGTTACGAGTTTGTTCACTAACACACATAATTGTTCTGATTTTCATGGGCGTTGAATTCTATCAGCATATTTACTGTGTTTCTAACTGGGAAACAGTGGGCCTCGTATTGGGCAATCAGATTTGAAAATGCCTCTCTCTGTAGGAAGAGGAGTGTTTTGATCCGAAATAGGGTCCTACATTTATGTCTTTCAAAACTGGGAAATGCAGTACACACACTGAAGTGGCAAGTAGCCACATCCTTACATAGACTGTGAATCACTAACAGTGTATTACAGCAAATGCTCCAATTTTCAGTAGGTACTGCAATGCTTGGAGCCATTACTGCAATAATTTATTTTTAATAAGGGTGCGTGTGCTTTGTTACAGAAGCTGCTTGCTTCTAACATCCTTTCCTTGTGCTCAGTCAGCAGAGACAAGGCTGACTTTTACCCAGAGATCACGTCCAAAGGGGATGACTCTGTTTCTAGTTTCCTTGGCACAGATCAGGTGCTTTTTCAGAAAGCCCATTCCACTGGCTCTGTATTAAACCTTAGTCAGACTAACATCTATATTTGAAGTGTATAGTCTAATTATAGATTAAAGAGGCAAACGGCAGCACGGAATTATTATTCTCTTGTAATGTTTCTTTCGTCTCACACCACAAATACAGAGCCTTAATTATTTAGCAGATTAGTCTTTCTGTATAATGACCTGGCACAAGCTTCAAACAGAGAGTTTAAATTGATTTTCTCCCATTATATTTGCCTTGCAAGCTGATTAGTACCTACTAAGCTAATTTTTAGTTGAAAAAAATTATTGGTTCCAGGATGAAATTACTCAACTATACTTGCTGTTTAAATATGTGGCACAGCAGATAATCTTTAAATAACACTAGAACTTGCAGTTCAATTATGTGTTGGGTTTTTTTTGGTTGGTTGTGGGTTTTTTTTTCTGAAGTCCCACAGAAGAAAGTTCAGTCCTGGGGAGTCAAATAACAGGAGTAGATCGAAGGCACTTAAATGAGAAGAGGAAAACAATTTAAGTGAGGGCGACATAATGCTATCTGATAATACTTAACACTTACTTAAGTACTTTTCATCTGTGTGGTGCTACCTAAACATTAACTTATTTTCACAACAGCCAGAAGAGGTGGTTAAGTGTATAATTACCTTTAGTTTATGTATGAAGGAGAATGAGGTAGAGAAGTGAAGGTTACTCCCTCTGGCAGAGGGATCAGAATGGTGTTTTTTTTCCTGTATTCTACTCAGAAGAGGAAGAGTTTATACTGTAGCCTTCAGCTCACTTGCCTCATTGAACCGTAAGGCACAAACTTTAGCAACATAAGATAAGATCCTGCCAACTGTGTTCCCACTGCTTGTGTCTTGAGTGAAATAATTGACTCCCCAGATGCTTTGTTTTTCCCTCTGCCCACATCCAGGGCGTGCCACTCAGCGGAAGAGGTCAGCTTGGATCTATTGACATAGACTCTTGGATTTGGGGTTGGTTATTCTTTCACATGTGCTTATCTAATAAATCGCACGCTGATCACAAAGGAGCACAAAGCAAGGCAAGGCAAGGGAACATACCCAGGGGTTTCTAAACGCCTTACCTAGAAGTGTGCCTCGCTGGCTTGTGCGTGGCAAGAGGGGGACCTGAGCACTGATCATGTGTATTTGGATTTTTATGACCTGATTCGTGAGACTTGGCATAAAGTGCAGTCCCTGCTGGGCTGCGTAGTTCTGAGGGCATCCTTGGGGTTTGTGACTCAGAATTTGGTGAGTGCATGGATCACACTGCAGCACTACTTGAATGGCAGTAGGTGCTGTTCATGGGAACAATAGCTAAATAGAGAACAGGAGTTTCAGACTGGCCGAGGGTCATGGCCACGTTGATGCTTTAGTTCACGGCAATGGTGTGGTTTTGAAGGAGACACCCTGATCACTGCCTTCTGTCACGCACAACAGAGATGGATTTGCACAGAGGAGTTTTGACAGATTCTAATCTACAGTCATTTGCAGAAAACTAAATTGGATGCCCTGCTTCTGAGGTGCATCAAGTGTGTGCAAACCCTAATGGGGGTATGAGGATTGGCCTCAGAAAAATTAAAACCAGTCGTGTGGTGAGAACGCGTGGTCTAAAAGACCAGATTAAATTGCTGATAGAGGGGCTGGAGCACCAAATGTTCTGATAAAATAATTGCTTTCTAATGTAGGCATGGTCTAGACCCGTTGTCAGGTGCACCAGTGCATTTAGCAGGCAAAAATGTTTTCTAAATTGAGTAAATTCAGTGGCAAACCGGTGTCTTGTCATGGACGTGCTATTTGGGCCGTGTATGAATACACAACTCACCTGCACAGCCTTTACATGCTAGAGACACAGCAGCGTTAATATTTGGTATATCTGGGTTTGGGTGTCAGGAATGTTTGCGTTTCTGTGTCCTCTGTATTTTCTTTAATATGTTTTTATTTGTATAAGAAAGATGAAACAAAGCTTTGCAGTAGGGAGAAAGTTTAAAGTAATAGTGAGCTCTTAAAATCTTTGGCTGTGTTGTGGTCTGTTATGTTTTTCTTGCTGTGGATTTGATCTCCTCCTCCTGTGATGAACAAGTGCATGTGATTAAAGGAGTTATTAAGCCGCACGTAGAGAAATGATGATGGGCCACACAGATTTGTAAACAACAAACAGAAGTGTGTACAAAGGGGCTAGAGCATTTTTATTCCAATTTTCATGTCATTTGTTTTTCTTTTGAGGTAGTCTCAATCCTGGAGCAAAATTACCTTCTTTGTTATTACAAAAAAAAAAAAAAACCAAAACCAAATCCAAACCTGAACATCAGCTACTTTAAAGATAATGCATTTGAAGTATAATTTTTAATGGTAGTTATGAGAAACTGGATGTAAGAAAGTTTTTTGTGGTTTTTTTTTTTTTCCTCCTTGAAATATCTGAGGACATGGATTCAAAATAAGATTTCTAGAAATCCCTAGATACCGAATGCCTAAGAAAAAACAGCTCTAAACCTTTCTCTGTATTTCTAGACATTTGAGATATTTTAAAGACTTTGACTTCAAAGTGCTTAATTTTACTTTGGTCTTGTAGAAAAAAAATACTTTTTCTCTTCAAAATTCTGGAAAATATATAGAGGTTATTGGGAAATGTGAAGCAGGAATTCATGAGGCTGGTGGTGGGTATTTTCCTTGTGACACGTGTAGAAGCAGAATCCTTGCACGTTGGCTTATTCTGCTGTCGTGATGCTGGAGGACGCATCAGATCCAAAATACCTACATAGAGTAAGTGCCAACAGGGAAGACCAAGAGTTCTGGGTCTTTGGCAGCGTTCCTGCTGAGCAGCCAGGCTCCTGCCTTGTGGAAATGGCTGTGCAGTACTTACAGTTGGTTATTATCTTCTCAGTTATCCCTGAGAGAACTATCGTTTCCAAATGATCTTAGTGTTAAAACATGAATTTGGTGGCTGCAATATAAGCAGTAAGGCTTGGGTGATGAGGATTTGAGGAGAGTTAAATAGAAATCTGAAGGCTGGGCATGTTTATGTCAGATATGAAGTTTATGGTTTTATAATACAACATTGCCTCACTTTATTCAGTTGAATGATAATTTTGGATAGTGCAGTTCATGCTTTCACTAGACAGTGTTGGAGCCTGAGATGCTGCCAAAAAATAGTTCTAAAAAATCATGGGTGTTTGAGTCTCTGGAGTGTCTGGGGAAACCTGGACCAGAGGAGTGTCCTTCCTTTCAGGCTGAAGCAAAGACAAGCATATGCTGGTCAAGTGCTCCAAGGCAGCTCAGCTGATGAGCGCTGTGCTGGAGTGTAGTTACCTGCCTTGGGCTCCAGCTGCTCCAGACTCCGTTTCCAGACTCCAGTGAGGATGCAGCTTCTCAGCTGCTGCAGTACCAGGGGCAGAGAGGCACCAGGGCTCAGAGAGCTTACCAAAGCCAAAGTTTAATAACTTGAAAAAGGGAGTATAGGTGTTTTGGGCCAAATATTTAACAGCCCTACATCTACTTTGTGGGTTGTGTACACAGGTAAACGAATTGGAGAGTAAGGCTTAAACCTGGGGGAGGATTGACTAATAAGTAATTAGCCATTGGTATTTAAGCCTGCAGTGCGCTTTGCAGGTGGGAGAGGACAGCACAGATGAATATTGATCTTATAAAATATTTTAACGACTTCCTCTGAAAATAATGGAGTTTGGTACCAGTCACAGCGCTGAGTCAGCACTGCGGGGAGCGCGTTGCCGTGAACGATACAGGTCCTTCATGAGCTGTCTCACTCCAGACCAATTTGTTCATTGTAAGGCTGGGTTAGTTTGGCTGCAAGGGAGGAGCAGCTCCTGCCTTCTAATTCTTCAGGGCCGTGTGTAGACAACAGTTCCCTGCAGCCATCTGCCGAGTCCAGCGTGCTGGATTGGCACATTAGACTTGGAAGGAAGGTGAATTGTTAGTTGGCTGAGCTTAACAAGATGAATTGAGGGAACAATTAAAGAAATGGGAGTTTATACTTTGAATATAATTGTTAGGGTGTAGCTTTTTGGAACTTCCTCCTACTTCTGAAAAGATGGGAGTTTCCTTCTCATTTAGTCAAACATTTCCTGAATGGGTGCCTGAAATAGGGTTGGTCTCTTGGGTGTTTTTTTTTTTTCCCCTTCGGCAGTGACTCACCTGGCTTAATATCAGCAATAAACTTTGAACCACAGGTGGAAAATGTGCAAAGCCAGACAATCCAGCTGGTATTCCACTTTCTGTGTGTGGTGCTGACAAGAATATAACTGGCTTGGACCAGTTTCAGGTGGGAGGAGATGTTTATTTCTCTTCCCACAGTCTGCAAATTGCTTTTTAGACTTTTGTGATCCGTTTGGAATTAATGTAAGGCTTCTTGACAAAAAGTCACTCTGCGTTAATGCCAAAGCATGCCAATTGATGTATTTCTACCTCTCATTCCTTCTTTTTTCCCTCTTGTTTGCCTGGGGGGACTATCCCCTAGAGCAGGTTGGCTCTTCTGTGGAGCCTGGGGTTGGCACATTGGCTGAGTTCTCGTCTGATCAGATCACAGAAGGAAGTCCCCATCCCTTGAGATGTGCTGTGTGCTTCAGCTCTGTGTGAAGGAGAGGTGGCTGGAGGAACCAAGAGACTCGATTGTTTCCAGAAGTGTCTGAGGTGACTCCAGGCCTCACACAGAGAGGCAAGGCTCAGGCACGGGGCAGGGAGGAGAAGAGATGCCATGGTACTTTGGTTGGAATTTTTTTGTTGAGGAATGAGATGATTACACTTAATGAGTGACTCTGGGCAGCTGTTGGCAGTGAGCAGGAAATACAGTCAGAGCTGGACCCCAGCATAGAGTAGAGAAATTTAGATATGGATTTAGACTCCATAACTAGGATATATTTGTGACATTGCAGACCAAACAGAAGAGGAGCTCTGGGGATTTGGATCAGGACAGAGAAGTTTGGAAAGCAGTAATGATGAAAAGATCAATGAGACTCTCCTACTGTGTAGGGACAGTTTGTACCAAATGTTTTATTTTGCCTTTGGGCTAAAAATGCAGAAGCAAAGCCTGAGGGAGGGCATGGGGCTGGAGGGTTGTAGAAACCCTCTTGATCTGCACATCAGGAAGGTAATTGCAAGGAAAAGATTGAGATGTGATAAAAGTAAAGATTCGGGTATTAATCCCTCCCCAAAACATCAAGTATCTTACCTTGAAGAAAGCGTAGAATTGAGAAGAGGTTGAACACTGGGGAAGGGTTGCAGGAGTCCTAGTGCTGGAGCGTTTTACGGTAGACAATGGAGACAGTGGAGAACCAGCCTGTAAGGGTGACCTTGCTGTCTGAACTGTCACGGTTACTTTTTAAGGTCTTACTGCCATCTAGTGACTCCTGGGGGGACGAGCAGTCTCTTTGAAGAGCTGTTTGCTCTTAACTGATATTGGACAAGTACATTTTTTTCCCTCTGCCATCCCTGTGCATTTGTGTTACACCTGCCCCCGCTCTCATGCCTTAAGTTGTCCATCTCTCCATGCTAAAGGTAACGACACAGCAGCTCTGAGGACAGCTGCAACAAACACCATTTGTCATCCAGTCAATTCCAAATGTCACAAGAACCCCAAAGAGGACCGATTGTAACACGCACTGTTTCTCCCCCTCTTAATCCTTCTGCTTCCTTCTCCCTGCAGAATACAAACCCAGCTACGTCCGCAACCGCTCCATCCGCTCGGTGTCTGTGGAGCTGGATGGGGCTGTTTATAACGTGGCTTTGGAGGACGGGTACCAGCCCGTCTTGCCGAGAAACATCACCAAGAGGCACAAGATGCAGAGAGCTGTTCTTCGCGAGGAGGAAGACAAAGACATGGGGGAGTTCAGCGGCACCGGTGGCATTGCAGAGTACACAGCCCCAAACCTGATAAAAGTGACTCACAGGTGAGTGCACGTGCTCGTTTCTGAAAGCTTTTGCTGCTTAATTGGTTGCTTTATGTAACTGGATGTATTAACTTGTGGTAAGTTTATTGTGTCCCTCTTGGATCCCAGTCTGGCTTCACTAAAATTATTTTTCTCGTCTGTACAACAGCTTTTGGTTCTGTGTTAATTTTGTCCCGTAGAGGGGCAGGAAGCTGCTGGAGAACTACAGCAGCACTTTTGTGTCTTCTGTACTTTGGAGACAGCAATCACTGATCAGTGCCTGTTTCCAGTAAGGACAAGCGAAGCTGTTGGCAGGAGCTGTGTGTGCATCTGAAACCAGGCTCTGCCCCTGGACACCTCCGTGTGCCATGGGTAACCTGGCTGGGCTGAGGAGCAGGCTCCAACTGGAGTGTGACCCAGGTTCATGTGGTGCTCCACATCAGCTCTAGGGCAGGAGGCAGCAGCCTCTCAGAGCTTCCTGTGGCCAGTGCTAGGAAAGGGAGATCTGTGTATGAATGAAGCTGGATGGACCAGGAGCGTCGGGCAATGGAACGTATTGAGAGAGGTGAGGGAATTGTCTGGGCACTAATAGCTAAAAATCTTTTCCTCAGTGTGCAAGCCCAGGGACCGATGACGTATCTTCAAACATACTTAATTAGTTTAGTCACCATTTCCGCTTGTGAGTTATCAGGAACTCCACCGATCATTATTGATTACAGGCATTAAATTGTTTAACAACCAGCTCATGTGAACACACGAGGGTCAGCTGCTGTTGCAATCTGTGGTTTCCATTTGACTTTGTTTACAGGGTTAGAGGCTCACTCATAGGAGGAGGTGTGAGTAGGTTGACATCAGAGAATTGTGCCGTCTTACCCCAGCTCTCTTGAGTGTTCAGGACCCATAAGTCACTATCTGTGCTTTTCTTCTGGAACAAATTAAATTGAGTTTTGCTGCCTTTACTGGGTGAATCCCAAACCCATGCAAGGAACTGTCAGGAAGATTGTGCATAATTTATGAGGAGTCCCCAAGAACACTTGCAGCAAAGAAGGCAGGGGGACAACACGCATGAGATGGTTAAAAGAAAATAAAGGAGTAGTGAGAATACTCAGCTTTAATTTAAACAAGCATTTCAAAATGACTACATGGTATTAAACTTCTCAGGTAAATCTGTCCAGCGTGCATTTCTTTGGTTTTGAAAGAATTCTAAAACCTGGATTGCATTATAAGTTAGTGAAACATAAGCACTTAAAATTGTCAGAAGTTATTTTGCCTTTGAAGTCAGGGAGATATCTTTGAAGAATTTTATCCCTTTTATAGAAAAGAGTAGAATTTGTTTCTTTTTTTCTTTATGGTGTAGTAGTACACCTTATAAAGAAGTACTTTATCCTTGCCCCTACCCCTGTATCACTTAATTATGCATTGGGAAATCGCTTCTGAGTAATGCTTTCTGTGCTTGCTAGTTAGTAGAGATTATTTATGTAGACAGCCTAATGAATAAGCAAGAACTCTGCAGCATAATTTGCATACAGAAATTAAGCAGTCAACAGGTTCGGCTTGATAGGAATATTCTCCTTCAATTTTTCTACTTCTGAAAAATTTCCATGGCTCAAATCCAAGCTCTTTCCTGGCTCACAGCACACGCGTCTTCTCTTGAGCGAATGTTGGTTTTTGAGTTCTGCTTGTCATTTCCAGTCTGGCTTCTCCTCTCTCCTGGAGTTGTGTTATTAAAACCAGCTGTTTGCATTGCTCTGTGTGTGTGTGTGTGTGTGTGTGTCCACTATAACAAACATTGTTTGCTTTCCCATGCCCAGGTGCTATATCCTGGAGAATGACACCGTTCAGTGTGACACGGATCTGTACAGGTCACTGCAAGCTTGGAAGGACCATAAACTTCATATTGACCATGAGGTCAGTGATGTTATCAGTCATAGGTTTTCAATCTCCACTATAACAAACATTGTTTGCTTTCCCATGCCCAGGTGCTATATCCTGGAGAATGACACCGTTCAGTGTGACACGGATCTGTACAGGTCACTGCAAGCTTGGAAGGACCATAAACTTCATATTGACCACGAGGTCAGTGATGTTATCAGTCATGGGTTTCCAGTGTGTGTTTTTAGCATGGTTTTCTGTGAGCTGATAGGATCGTGCTGACTTGTGTTTGTGTCTGTCTGCTCTGGACATCTCTGTCCCTCCTTGGAACCTTTTGAACTTGCTGGCTGATTTCAGAGTAGGTACTTCCAATATAATGAAGTTATTACAAGTTTGTGAAGACAAGATGCTGAGGAGAGAACTGCAAGTGGAGGGACAGCTGAGAAATGTCATAAGCCTTAAGAGATAAATGAGAGACTTGTAAGTGTCCCCATCCTGGGGAAAATTTCATCTCGGCCTTTTTCACATCTTATTAGCCCCACTCCCCAATATATCTCTCAAACAGGGGCCTTCAGCTGTCAAACACAAGCCCAAGGAAAAGTGAGCCTTATTAGCTTTGGTGCTTCCAGAATTAAAGTGTCCCCATCCTGGGGAAAATTTCATCTGGATCTTTTTCACATCTTATTAGCCCTGCTCCCCAATATATCTCTCAAACAGGGGCCTTCAGCTGTCAAACACAAGCCCAAGGAAAAGTGAGCCTTATTAGCTTTGGTGCTTCCAGAATTATTTATTTTGCCTGATAGTGTTTAACCCTTGTACCCTGGAATTGAATTAGTTTTTCTCGGGTTTGTGTATGTGTGTGTGTGTGTGTGTGTGTGTGTGTCCACTATAACAAACATTGTTTGCTTTCCCATGCCCAGGTGCTATATCCTGGAGAATGACACCGTTCAGTGTGACACGGATCTGTACAGGTCACTGCAAGCTTGGAAGGACCATAAACTTCATATTGACCACGAGGTCAGTGATGTTATCAGTCATGGGTTTCCAGTGTGTGTTTTTAGCATGGTTTTCTGTGAGCTGATAGGATCGTGCTGACTTGTGTTTGTGTCTGTCTGCTCTGGACATCTCTGTCCCTCCTTGGAACCTTTTGAACTTGCTGGCTGATTTCAGAGTAGGTACTTCCAATATGATTAAGTTATTACAAGTTTGTGAAGACAAGATGCTGAGGAGAGAACTGCAAGTGGAGGGACAGCTGAGAAATGTCATAAGCCTTAAGAGATAAATGAGAGACTTGTAAGTGTCCCCATCCTGGGGAAAATTTCATCTCGGCCTTTTTCACATCTTATTAGCCCCACTCCCCAATATATCTCTCAAACAGGGGCCTTCAGCTGTCAAACACAAGCCTAAGGAAAAGTGAGCTTCATCAGTTTTGGTGCTTCCAGAATTGTTTATTTTGCCTGATAGTGTTTAACCCTTGTACCCTGGAATTGAATTAGTTTTTCTCGGGTTTGTGTATATGAAGAACCTGGAGATAATGTAGAACAAATGCCAAAGAGAAGCATAAAGCAAGGACCTCTGTAATCTCTTACCAAATGACATGAATTCACAGCACAGTGCTGTGGAAGAACTTGTTGGCCTTTTGCTGTGCAGATTGATATGTAGCCAGAGAGAGAGACACCGACACACTGCCCAGCTCTGCTAGGTCTGCAGAAGGGCAGTTTCAGTACCAATTCTTCAATACTCTGCCAGTTCTTTTTTCTTCAGCAGTGAGGCTGTATTACCGAGTGCCAAAGGAAATGAGAGCTCAGTTCTGTTCTGTTCCAAATTTAGGGTGATAGGGCTGGATTCTTTGTGTATTTTTCTTGCCGTGGATTTCCACTGGCCTTATGGTCACTGGTGTCTAATGGCAGTTGTGCAGTGACTTTGTGTTCACACTGGATTACTTTGGTTTTTCCGCTGTGTAAAGAGCAGAGGTGGAAGCCTGTGACACCCCTGGGAGTGGAAATGGGCCTGAGCTCAACTGAACAAAAGCGCCACCTTCATTTACTGAAAAAAGTAGGCAGTTAAAAATAAACCACGTGGGTGGCACAATTAACTGCTAATCCATATCCCACGTGGCCAGACGTCACTGAAGACTGCCCTGCAGGCTGAGGGACCTGCTTTTCTTTCTCAGAAGCTGCTGCAATTTCCTTTGAGTAACTTTTCTCCCTTTGCACGCGTGCTGTGCAGCACAAAAGGAGAAGTCATGATGGAAGCTGGAGCAGTTGTCCACCTGAGGCTCTGTGCCCTCCTGTTCCCCTGGTGCCACCTTCCACTTTCCCATCATGGTGTAATCAAAGCCGGCCAACATCCCTTTGGGAAGGCAGATAATCTGAAAATGCTGGTTAGTGGTGGGAGTCATGGGACTGGTGAAAAGGAAGCATTTGGTGACAACAGAATGGGTTTGAGAAGGTTAGAAAAAGACTAAATCCTGCTGTATTTTTTTTAAGCTGTATCTTTACTTTTTTTTTAGATTGAAACTTTGCAAAATAAAATCAAAAACCTGAGGGAGGTGAGAGGGCACCTGAAGAAGAAGCGACCTGAAGAGTGTGACTGTAACAAGATAAGGTATTTCTTGTGTCCTTCAGAGCAATTACTTGTAGTGTGAAAATGTAGCTGATTTATGTTTTCACGGGAGAGAATCAGAATCTAATCAGAATCTGGAGGTTTTTTAAGCGGCTGCCAACTTCCTACATTCTTGTGCAGTGCTTTCAGGGGCAGCTGGGCTGCTACAGACACAACAGGCCCATCTTCTGCCAGGCAGGAGTTTAATTGCCTCTGTGTCAAGTGGTGATGATGTAGCAGGACGTGTAACATGGCTTATAACCACTCAGTCGTGCTCTTGTACTGCAGACGCTGCTGTTAGATACCAGAGATGAATATTTTAAGCTGCAGGCTTTTTTCTGAAAACTTGCTTTCCACAAGGGCAAATTGTCAGCGTGGTGCAGTGTTACACAAATCTGTTGTAAAAAGAATAGTGTGTAAAGCAAATGGAATAACAGAGTAGGGAGAGGAGAGAATTTCCTCCCGTTTGGTTTCTTCAGGGCTGGATGTTTTCTCTCCTGGGATGCAGCCGCTGCAATATTGAGCAGCTCTGCCACGTGGGAGAAGCAGGAATTGAACAGTTGGTGCAGAGTAACCACGTTTTGTAACCACCATGGACTTAATGCACCACATCATTTGTTTCCCTAGTGCAGATGATTTGTGAATTTTAAGTGCAACAGATAATACTAAAATAGCGATTATACATTAAGGTCTCTGCACAGTTGGTTTCTGAAACAGCCAAATATTTGCAAAATGCCCACCCACTGCATGGCCCGTGGTCGTTGTGGCCCAGGTGGACTCTGGAGCTGAGCTTCTGCAGCAGATCACAAACATTTGGAGATCAATTTCTTGGGTGATGTCAAGGCACACAAGGAACTCGCAGCAAAAAGTGTTTAAAATGAAATCAGTATCATTCTAAATGGCAAAGCCCCCAAAAGTTTATATTGCTTTATAACCCACCTCTTTCAAAACTGATGGAAATAACTGAGTTTATTTAATACATACTGTAAAGATGAAGTTATTTTTTATAATGAATATTTTACAGTAAAGAATGTTACATTTTTCAGGCCCAACAGAGGAGGCACATATATTTGTGCATAGCATTATTGAGATGAATAATCCCACGGAAATCAACGAAGTTAATCATCTGAGTTCCAGATGTTTAAGTGTTTGGAGAATTGCACTGGATTAGGATTCAGCATTTCAGATTAATTAATGAAATACCCGGTGTCTGGGCAAGATGAAAAAATTGACTAAAGATAAATAGTTCTTTAACAATCTTATTCTGTTAATGTGCTGTAAGGATTAAATTTATTAAAGCTCCCAGAAGCATTAATAATTTAAAAGATTTGTTTTGTTTTGAAGGGAATTTTAGTCTGACAACTAACTGAATTCAGATGAGCTGTTTAGAAAATAATAGTTATTGAACTTAGTTTGTCTTTGCTGATTGGCGTGGGTGGTACAATGAATCAGACAGAAAACATTGCCATTGACATTTTTAACTTTGCAAACTACACAGAAAGGAAATTTCTGCAAAATCTTATAATCTGGAGACAGAGCCAAGCCAGTAGAGCCACCCAGTTAGAATGTGTGTGTCTGTCACCCCCTCCCTGTCTCAGAACAGATTAGACACTGGAATTGCTGGGGCAGCTCCGTGCATCTTGTTAAAGTTTTCCGGGAACTCTTAGCTAGAAACGACGGAGAGAAAAACCCCAACCCTATGAAGTACAACTGGGATTTAAATTCTTTCCTTCAGAAGGGAAATGGCAGGAAGGTGGTACATGCTTTCATTTTATCATCTGAACAAATTAGTGACTATTCAGTTGAAGAAATGTTGTAACTGAATTGTAAGTCTATTGATTGTATCTGCCCCGTGTACAGAAACAAGAACCAATGACAACTAAATCTGGAAACTGAAGCTGGAATCATCTGTGGATCAATATTGCAATACGGGGCTAGAGCAGGAGATGTCACTGTGCACAGGGCAGGGAAGGAAACACTGGCCAGTCTCGCCACATGCCCTGAATTAAATGAATAAATTGAAGGGAGAAGTGACACTAGGTTTAATCTCCTCTAAATCCAGCATGAAAGTGGAGTATGAATTGTCTTTCTGTTGTTCATCAACAACCCTGGTTTTATTTTCCAGTTACCACTCAAAACACAAGAGCAAACTGAGGCACAAGGGATCCAGTCTTCATCCTTTCAAGTAAGTGAAGGCTCTTCCTTTGAAAGAAGAAATGCAGGGACAACCTGTGGTCCATGCACACCAGTTACAGACTAAGCCAAAGCAGTAGTATTTCATTTATCTGGTATTAAAAAGAATAAACACACAGGCACCTGGGCAAGGAACCAAGGCCCTATGGAAATGCTTGTAAATTTGAGAGAAGGTTCCTGGTTTGGGAACCATCCCATCCCAGAGTTCAGGTGAGCCTGTAGGACACTCTGCCGCCTTTATTTTTTTTTTTCCAGGGACATTGAATTGCAAAGAGTCATATCCAGAGACATTTGGAAGCGAAGCCATTTAATTAAAAAAATACCAGTTCTTTCTTTCCCTCAAAGCAGCTTATTTTATTAGCTGCTTCGTTTCTTTGAGGTGTGTTCAAGTGTAACAGAGTCTGCCTGACGCTAATGTTTCCCGTGTGCAGGAAGGCCCTCCAGGAGAAGGACCGGCTGTGGCTGCTTCGGGAGCAGAGACGGAAGAAGAAACTGCGTAAACTGCTGAAGAGAATCAAGAACAACGACACGTGCAGCATGCCCGGGCTGACCTGCTTCACCCACGACAACCAGCACTGGCAAACGGCTCCCCTCTGGACACGTAAGGAGACTTTCAGTAATAGGGAGGCGGGTAGAGGCCAGGCTGGGCAGGGAAACTGGGCTCCTACAGGTGACTGGTATCATGAGATACGTAGCCAAAGCTACGCCGCCTTCCTCATATTAAATAATCTCTGTTTCTGCCTTGGCATCATCCTTGCACAAAAGGCAAGGAAGTAAAAAACAAAACCAACTGCAAATAAAAACCTACAGATATCGCATACAGTAACATTATGTGCCAGATCTCACATCTGGGTGTCTCCCAGCTTAGGTAGGCCATGCCGGAGGTTAGCTAAGCACAGAAGAGGCTGATGCTGGAAGGCATTCTCTGTGCTAGAGCTCAGGAGTCAGAGACAGTCAGTGTCTATGAATAAAGCAATACCAGAAGCAAAAAGTAATGAACAGTGTCTAAAGGCAGCAGCCTGTACCTTATGTCTTTGTAACTCTTTCGTTTGCAGTGGGCCCTTTCTGTGCCTGTACCAGTGCCAACAACAACACATACTGGTGTTTGAGGACAATCAACGAGACCCACAACTTCCTGTTTTGTGAATTTGCTACTGGATTTTTGGAGTATTTTGATCTCAATACCGATCCGTATCAGGTACCGATCATAGAACAGCTCTAGAAATGCAGCATTGCTCCTTGCTGGTCACAAATTGCAATAGCACAGAATTGGTGCAGGATGTAGGTAAGGCCTAAATCACCAAACACAGAATGATTTGGCTTCTTTCCTGTTACAAATAAACCACACATATTCCATATATGAAAGTTACCAAACTACAGAGCAACAGTTACTAATAAGAACCCTTGTTTATTGCAGCTAATTAATGCAGTGAATACGCTGGATAGAGACGTTCTCAATCAACTGCACGTCCAGCTCATGGAGCTCAGAAGCTGCAAAGGGTATAAACAGTGCAATCCAAGAACCAGGAACATGGATCTGGGTAAGTGCCTCTCCTGTTGCTCTCAGAAACTCCCTAGAGGAAATGGGGCTCACTCTTACCATTATGAAACCATTATGTATCAGTCAAAAGGATTTTAATATTTATTTATACTAGTGATGTCCTGCAGAACCTGGGGGCTGCGTTGCTCAAATATTTGTATTTGTTCCATTTGTGTTACGTGATGTTTCTTAAATGAAGAATGATGGTAGAGGGAGGGGTATTGCTGAGACACAGGGGAAGGAGACGAGGAAGGAACAAAACTGATGAAAGAGGGACAGAATTCCCTAATAGCCACTTGCATCTTCATAGACTCGTTGCTCCTTGCTGGTCACAAATTGCAATAGCACAGAATTGGTGCAGGATGTAGGTAAGGCCTAAATCACCAAACACAGAATGATTTGGCTTCTTTCCTGTTACAAATAAACCACACATATTCCATGTATGAAAGTTACCAAACTACAGAGCAACAGTTACTAATAAGAACCCTTGTTTATTGCAGCTAATTAATGCAGTGAATACGCTGGATAGAGACGTTCTCAATCAACTGCACGTCCAGCTCATGGAGCTCAGAAGCTGCAAAGGGTATAAACAGTGCAATCCAAGAACCAGGAACATGGATCTGGGTAAGTGCCTCTCCTGTTGCTCTCAGAAACTCCCTAGAGGAAATGGGGCTCACTCTTACCATTATGAAACCATTATGTATCAGTCAAAAGGATTTTAGTATTTATTTATACTAGTGCTGTCCTGCAGAACCTGGGCGCTCTAATATTTGTATTTGTTCCATTTGTGTTATGTGATGTTTCTTAAATGAAGAATGGTGGTAGAGGGAGGGGTGTTGCTGAGACACAGGGGAAGGAGATGAGGAAGGAACAAAACTGATGAAGAAACCATTATGTATCAGTCAAAAGGATTTTAATATTTATTTATACTAGTGATGTCCTGCAGAACCTGGGGGCTGCGTTGCTCAAATATTTGTATTTGTTCCATTTGTGTTACGTGATGTTTCTTAAATGAAGAATGATGGTAGAGGGAGGGGTATTGCTGAGACACAGGGGAAGGAGACGAGGAAGGAACAAAACTGATGAAAGAGGGACAGAATTCCCTAATAGCCACTTGCATCTTCAGAAGTTCCTTCCAACCTGAGTTGTCCTATGAGTCTATGGAGTCCCTCTGGTCCAAACATCTGCTGAGTGCGGGGGCAGCTGCGAGGCCAGAGCAGGTTCCTCAGGGCTTTATCCACTCCCATCCTCCAAGGATGGAGACAGCACAACCTCTCTGGGCAGCTACTTTGGCAGCTGAGTTTCAGCCTTCCAACTGATGGCATGATTCCTAGAATTGCTTCTTTAGAGACAGTGTGGTCCCTGCAGCCTTGTGGTCAGCTGCCTTAACAATCACAGCAATTTCAAAAAGGCCAGTAGTGCTGAGGCTGCTGGGTTTTCCTGCCTGTGTTTCTGTGAGGCACCTGGGAAATAAAGCACATCTAAGGAGGGCTGCGTTGTGCCACCAAAAGACCTGCTCTTGTAACTACGGAGTCAAATTCCAAACAGCAAAACGGGCCTTTACTCTTGTTCTAGGTTGGTTTCATCCTTACATTTTCTCTGGATCTACTCAATGGATCTGATTTTTATACTACTTGTGATTCTTTTTAAATGTTTGATAGCAACCCAAAAAGTACAGTTACTTGTATTTCTTCTTTTTAAACTGCATTTCTTACACCCCTTAGTAAAATTAAGTTTACATAAGAAATGCTATTTTAAAAAAAATCGTAGCCTTTAGGGCTTGAAGCCACCCCACCCCCAAAACGCTGTTATTTGCCTGAGTCCACCAAACCCCAAATATTATTTTGCATCTTGGTACTTGTACCACACAGAGCTGTACGTTTTGAAATCAAAAGGTTTTGGTGTTTAAATACACCACTGAAGGACAGTAACAGAAGAGTTTCCGAGGTATCGTTCCCAATTTACAACCAGTTTTATCCAGACTAAGGGATTAAATACAAAACCAACAGCTCCAGTTACCATGGGTGGCAACACACACTCATCTGCTAAATTAAATACAAAACCAACAGCTCCAGTTACCATGGGTGGCAACACACATTCATCTACTATCCTTAGGGCTTTTTTTTAAATTAAGCCTCACCTGATATCTTGCTCTGTTGCAGGCAATGGTTGGTAACATTGTTCATTTTTCCTCATCTAGGACTTAAAGATGGAAGCTACGAGCAGTACAGGTAAATTTTTAACAAATAGTTAAATTATTATTCTTAAGTACTACCTTCCTGCTAAAGGAGTGTGGGATTTGGAAGCACATGGACAGACGCTGCCGGGAAGGGCATTTGTGAGATCTTTCTGTGCTGTTACTTTGAAACACTGGAGCTATTTCTATTTCAATGTTACAGCATGTTCTCATTTTTTAGTCAAAATTCAGGCTAAACTCTCTCCTTCCTCATCTTTCAGACTGTAGAGCTGGCGGGTTTCTTGGTGATGGTTAACTTTTTTCTCCTTTTGCTACTTGAAAATTAGGCAGTTTCAGCGTCGAAAGTGGCCAGATGTGAAGAGACCATCATCTGCCAAGTCACTGTGAGTTGGGAGCAGTTCACCAAAAGCATTAAGCTCTTGCTTACCTTCATCTCCTTCGCTTCTCTTCTTGCATGCAGCACCTTTTTTAACATCATCATCTATTCTCATGGAATGCTTAAGTGGGAAGTGCTCTAAATTATGCAAGAAAGACACTACTGCCATGGTTAGAGAGACCCACTGCTGGACAAAACCTCCTGGTGCATCTTTCTGGGAATCCAGGAGCATTAGGGTCAAGGCAGTTTCAAACTTGAGCAAAGGTGGATGCTCAGTTGAAGAAACCAGTTATGGTTAACGGCCAGTAAAAGTTAGAGATGATTATAGAGGTTTTATCTAAATTTAAACCAGTAGCAGGGACCTAGTGGTCTCTGGTGCCACCTGGAAAGAACAAAACTGATTGTAGTTTCTCAGCGAGAGTATCATGTATCTTCTTGCTATTTATCCAGCCACAGCCTCGTGTGCTGTGGGCAAAAAAAAGCAAGTTAAAACAGTAAGTAGACCACAAGACAGATCTGTGCATTTTGTTTTATCTAAGATGATTGCTTTTTGCTTACGTAACTGCCTTTTAAAACTTGAAGGCTATAATTCAGTTCTCAACAACCTGCCAGAGCCCAAAGGCGAGATACAAATGTAAAGACATGAGAAATAGTTACCTTGGCTCTGCCAGTTACTGTCTCTGTCTCCTGTTAAACACAGGGTTGAGGCTTGTTAAAAATCCTAAGGGGGTCCCAAATTGTGCAGTGAAAAACTATGTACAAGTACCTTACCAGGCAGGGTCTCGCATTCTCGACTCCTCTGAGGGGATTTACTTATTTAATGGTAATGTTTGACTGGCTTTAGAACCAAAATGAAGCAAGAATTAATGAGCTACAAGTTTTGTACAGGTTGAAGTTCAAACCCAGTTGGATTGTTTCTGTGAGACACCAGCTATATTGCTGTAGGTGGCCCACAGGGTTTCAGTTGTTCTTCCCTGCATGGAACCATTAAAAACGTATTTCTAACTACTTCCTACTAGAATGTTATACACTAAATCATGTTTGTTTTATTTTAAAGAGGACAACTGTGGGAAGGATGGGAGGGGTAACCTCCCCCAGCCGCTGCACCTCCATGAGGATACAAACTGGCCAGAACTTGAATCCATGTACAGACTAAATGAAAGACTTCAGAAGAATCTCACGTGAGCCTGGAGGAGTGGCTGAACTTTGAGGCTGAAATAGATAGAATGTTTGCACTGGTGAGTTACGTAGAAGCAGTGAAATTGTGGGAAAGGCTGTCAGAAATACAGGTCTCTGAAATCCACTATTGCACCTGCTTTTGCTTTGGATGATACCTCACCTGCTGCAAAGGCATCTCCCTTCAAAAGGACACCACTAACACTGCCCAGAGCTGAGGGGGAGGAGACGCAGCCGCAGCCCCCGGAGGGTCCCAGCCCGGCGGCACAGGGACAGCATCGCTCAGCTCCACTTCAGATGGCACGAGAAAAACCTCAAAGCCAAGTCTAACTCCAAAGCAAGACTGAGACAAGATGGACGCTTTTGCTTCTAACTGGGGTAAAGGTAATGGTGGAAAAGAACTTTTTAAGAGATTCAGGAACTGAAGCGAGCAGCGTTGAATATTCTCAACACCATCGTATTTCTCAGATTTCCCCTGAGGATACGGTTTAGTTCCACATCTATTTGTCCATCCATTTGACACCTCTAGGAAAATTAGAGAAATTATTGACTAACAGGACGCCAGATTTTTGGAGGGGTTGTGTAAATATTGATCAATATACTGTTTGAAAATAAATTCCTTCAGGTTGTGAAGAATTTTGTTAATAAAAAGAGTGGAATGCCCACACACCATTTCGCAAAACGTTACTTAATGTTGCATAGTACATTTCACAATTTATCCATTTTTAAAAGTACTGAAAATTTTCAGTAAATGTACATCTTAAATTTTAATGAAATCAGATTTGTATGAAGTTTTTTTATGTGGTAATATTATATTGTATGTTCAAAACCAAAACAACTCCTTTGAGAAAGCAGTATTTGCTTAGTAGTGTAACTTTTACATTTATTTTTAAAAAAGGCAGCTCCAAGAAGTTCAATACTTGTAGCCAATAAAGAACAATCTAGTTATAGCTCAGTCTACAAAAAAGTAGATGTTCTGAATGACAGTTACTGTTTAAAGGCTTTTAAAGGGAAAAAAACCATCATTTTACTACAGAAGCACAGTGTACAGAGCTGATTTGAGTATTTTCATAAGAACATTATTAAATGCATTGTAGTACAGGCACTAGCAGTGATATTTGTATTTATATTTTTTTCACATTAATCTGCTACCTGTTTCTAAGGCAGATGCAGGAGGAAGCTCGTGACAGACTCGACCAACTGTGGCCTTCACTCTTAACCAAGAGGTACTTCCTTCCAAAACACCAACTTCACTTGCACTCCTAGAAACAGAGTGTGACAATACATCACAGACCTTATTTCAGTGCCCTTCCAGATCTCGCACATTATGAAACCCAAGGAATTACTTCACAAGGGATAGAGGTCTCTGGGAGCACAACCCTTACTCCATAAATGTACTTTAACTTCTTGCCCTGTGCAGCTGAGGGAGGGAGGGCAGTGGGGTCTTTCACTGTACACAATATATAGTAAAATGAGGCTTGAGCTTCTATTTGTATCACACGTGAAAAAGACAAATACACTCCCCAACATTTTCTTGCAAATTTTTTTAAATTATGGAGTTAATACATGATTGTCTGTCTTAATTGAGCCACAGAGTTTGTTTACAACCTGGTAGAGATTTCATGCGTTACGAATAACACCTGCCAGATGATGAGATCTGGATTAATACAAATAGGTAAAAAATACTAAATTTAAACTTGCTGACAGAAACAGCTTTTTGCTGCTTTTCAGAGAAAGGCAGTAACTGCTTACCCTTCCCAGGGAGCACGGAGAAAGAATTTAGATTTAAAAAAACTTGTACTTACCTTTATTTTGTGTTCAGCCTGTAGTCTCCGACAGGGTGAGGCAGTGCCCGTCAGAACCCAGTGCTGCTGCTGCGGCGGCGGCGTTCCCGGTCGGAGGCCTGAGGAGTCAGCATCTCCCTCTGTACAGTGTTGAGCTGCAGGGTTTGTGTGTGACGCCAGAAGCAGCTGTTATTTTATAAAGGTAGGTCATGGCCAAGTTGTGGGGAAAGCTCCCACCTCTTCTCCTTGCGGCGCTGCTGAATTATTGTTGCTATTGAAGTCGAAAAAGACATAAATTCCACACCGTGTCAGTGCAGCTTTAGTTGCTAAATGGGTCTCACAGGTGGAAGGTCTAAGTTGTTACTCCCTTTGCTTTTACAGCCAACTAAAAAAAAAAATGTAAACCATTTTCTATACACAGCTTTACTCGGTAATAGCACAGGGTTTTCTCTGACCTTTCTGGGATATAGTCATCAGCCTTAAAGCATTAGACAGCTACTGCACTCCATCACCAAGTTCTGATTTTAAATAGAAACCTTTATTTACATTATTATTAACATCCAAACACAAAAATCAGAAGAGCAGTAATACCTTACAACCAACTCTTTTATAAATCAGTCCCCGTGATTTTTCTGTTCTGCGACATAAAGGTACAGGTATTTCAAGCAATACTTAATGTAAACTAAACTTAAATGCAATTCTCAATACTGTATGCCTTCTCCTGAGAATTTTTTAAAATATTGCTCTCAGAATTACATGGTTTCATACTTGCTGTATCATTCTGTCATCTGGTAGTCTGCACAGAAATTCTAAAATAAAACGTGTGCTAATTGGTACAACATTCAAATAGTTTTTCTCTTATGACTGAAAAATGGTCCTGATTTTCTAACTTAAAAAGCAGTATTTTAGACCAAGACTGGAAAAAAATACTACATATGAATTTTATAAAAACATGGTTTCTGTGATCAAAAGAGTAACAGAGAAGTAGCAAAATGCTGCTCGTTCTGCAGCAGCGATGGGAGGTGGCTGTATTCGCTCATTGTTCTCTTACCAGTGAGAAATGTTACACAGGTGGTTTTTTAAAAACATTCAGAGAAATCTGCTGCTAAAGAACCAAACCAGCATTGGTGGAGATGTTAACTGTCAGCAGATTTCAAGGTCAGTTTTATTTACTGCAGCAGGTAAGATTTTCTAACTCGATGCAGCGTTTAGGATCAGTGCTGCCAAGAGAGATGTCATTGATGCATTTAAAAAATGCCCCCCTCCCCCTGTAATCAAGTTTAAACTAAAAATCTTTGGATTCAGCAAAAAAGTAAGTACTGGAAAGCTCCAACATTCTAAACACAGATGAGAAAATGATGATCTTTTATAACATCAGTCAGGTACCAGTTATACATAGATGTATAAATAGAATCACTCATTTTAAAAAAATTAAAAGGGCACAATGTATAAAGTAGTAGATATCTAAGAGCTCACCTAATGAAAGCAACCAGGGTTTGTAGTTTCCATCAATATAATGAACAACTACAAAAATATAAAGATTGTTCTACTCTGATTTGATATAAAAAGCAAGGGATTGTTGCCTTTCAGCTTCAGTAGGCAGCACTTACACAACAAATAGGTATGTTCTAAGAAATAAAAAAGAAGATAAAAGTTCTTTAGGCTTTTAAAAGTTTTGCATTAAAAACACACATGAATTGGAGTGGAGGTTTGAAATAAATACTATCACCTTGTCTAGATACTCAGTACTAATGGGAGAGATGGGGTTGCATAAAGTAGATCGACTGAATCTACATTCCCTTTGGGACACGACTGGCTGTATGCTAAGGATCAACCTCTTCAGAATATTTCTAGTTAAAGTTATTTCTATTAAAATGGAAGATCACTGAATATTCCGAACAATAAAACCACCTCTTGCTGACAGTACCAAGAAGAAGCAATCAAGAACACAGACTATTTTTTTCTTTACTCACTTGGGAGAAGTCAGTTTTCCATTACACAGTGAACGACAGAACAAAAGCACCACACGTCTTAAACACTGCGGGGTCAGCCCTTATGGAAGGGCAGAGGTTTGACTCCTGCAACTGCCTGCAACTGGAAAAACTGCAAAGGGGTCTTCATTTCAAGGAACCAAAATAGAGAGCAGGGGGGAAACACCTACCAGCAAATAATAGGAATAAATTTGTAACCAGACTTAAATACTGATATGAGAGAAACCTGCTTAGAAAATACATTCATTACTATTAGAACAGTCCAATGAGGTGCAAACATTTGGTTAAAGTGTGGCTTAATATCCTTAAAGGTTTCTGGATGTCATGTAACAACAAATACTTTGCAACAGACAAACTTCTTTCTTTGAAGAACATTTAAAGTTTGTTAAAATTGACCAAAAAAGACACAATCCAGATTCATCAACTGAAAAGGCAACACATTATAGAAAGACACGACCGTGATGACAAGTCATAACATGGTACAATGCAGAGTCTTTTTTGTCAAATTGCCTTATGTAAAAAGAAATGTAACAAAGTGCTCACAGGTGGAGAAAGCATTTAACAACTGGTCTTTTATAAAAAGCTATGTTAAAGATGTAAAAATAAATGAAGTGTTGAAGACCAAAGAAGAGAAATATGTGGGCCAAAGTCACCCAGCTTCAAAGTCATTAAATTTAATTAAAAAAAAATTCTATTTGGACCTCAACTACACTGAGTTTACAGAAATCAATTTTGTTAAATATTTAGCTTCACAAACTCTGCAAAAATGAGTTAGTGACCTACAAAAGTCATATATATAATACATTATCTTAAAGATCATATTTACAAAATTCACAAAAAGACTGCAAAATTCTGATTCAGACTGCAGTGCCTTGCCTTGAGTTTTCTGAAGTTATTTTCAAAAAAGATGAAAGATTATTGCTCTAATTTCCACACACAGAAAACATTACATTATGCAGTCTTTTCAAATAATTCTTAAGAGATTGTGTTTGAGAAGGAACATGAGTACACCCTACCTTCATATTAAGTCCTTATCAAAGATATTGCATTAATCCATTATATAGTCTTTTATAAAGTGCACTCAGCTGCACATCAATATGTAAATATTAGTCATAATTGTGTTTAAATAATTTAAATTCATTATTCTCTCTTTTTACCCCTTGGATTCGACGGACAGGATTTTGGAGGAGTATGTGCCAATTCATTTTGCACTGCTACTTTGCTTGGGAAATCCTGACTCTGGGGGTAAGAGATTAAAAGCAGCATTTATATTCAGGAATTAATATAAAATAGTCAAGGCTAGGAACTACATTCTCTGTCAGATATTCTTACTAGAGAAATCAGAAAATTCTTATCACCGTGACTTCTCCAGGCACTTTTGTCTGCCTGTAGTTAAAGGGCTTTGGGTAGTGGCAGTGGATAGATGAGGTGTGCCCAGAACACCTGGAGCCACCCATCAGACCCACTAATGCCATTGCCAAATTCACATTGCTACAGGCAGAGCGCCAAAAATATTTATGACCTTTTTGTACACCACAATATACAGTAATACAGAGACTGCTTCTACTAAAATGGGTTCTGTTGGGTTTTTGTTAGGTTTTGTTTTTTCCTCTGAATGACATAACTTAGGACATCATGGTGATTAACAAGAAAAATCACTTATTTCTGTAAGGCCAGTACGAGTTGCCGTGAAGAATGCGGAGCTTTCCTTTATATCTAGTGCATCGTTAATACAGCGCATTCTTGTTTGAAGATGTGGTTCTAGGTGTCAGCAGTATTTCTGTTGAAGAAAAGAAGAAATAATCATCAGAGAAAATAAAAAAATACCTTTGCTGAAAAAGCTGGTCAACATACTGCGTTTTGAAGAGGAAAGTACTGACAGTCAGCTTCTAAGCAGGAGATAACATCTGCTTTGAAGATAAATTTGTAGAAAAGAAACACTGTCCAAGAATTTCCTAAACATGTTATTTGGGTATTTTTGCTTGTGACATGAGGGTTTAGAAAATCTGACATTTTCTCTTCATTTTCCCCTCTTTATAAAAGACATCAAAGTCCCCCAATACCTTACTTATCCTCCAGAAGTTCTCCGATTATTTTGGCCGCTTCCTTAGGTACTTTAGACAAAATTTCACGAGGAGCTTTCTACTTGAATAAATTTATCTCAGTGTTACATTGCTCATCCCTTGGCATTTAGTGGAAAGATTACAGCAAAAGTGTATTTAGTATTCCAGCCCTCTCTGCAGTGCCTGTTAGTAGCTCATTTTCCCCTTAAATAACGGGCCTAGGTTTTCCACAGTTCTTGCTATCCATACACAAGCTACCATAAGGTATTACAAGGTTAAGTACCATCATCAGCCTCTGCCAGAAGGAGGACACTGTGCTACCAGGATTCTTGGTCTCACTCATGAGAGCTATTAAATAAAATCTTCTACATCTGCTGAAGATGCCTTTCACATTCTCTGTGTTTTGCTCTGTGGGGTTTTTCCAGGCTCAGAAGTATTTAAGCATCCTTTGAGCAGTTTAAGTCTTGATCCTACCTATGATACTTCAAAGTCAACAGCTAATCAAAGCACACAGCTTGGGTTTATCATGGATTTGAGTTAAGTATCATCAAAAATAAGATGTCTCTTGGGACATACAGACAGTAGGCCCACAGATATAAATATAAACAGGATAACTGAGAACAGGATTGTGCCAGAGTAATGGCTTAAAGCAAATTGTACTCAATGGAAAAAGGAGTCGACAGTTCTTTTCATCACATTTTACATTTAACTTACCTGGTCTGGACCCATGGGCATCCCTGACATAGGCATGGTGTTAATATTCATCTGCCCAAGATGGCCAGTGCTGCCGTTCATGTGCATCATGCTGTAGGCTGCGGGGTTGCCTTGATGGCTGAACTGCTGCTGGGGGAAAGAACTGAAGCACAAAAGGACAAGTGAAATTACCTTCCAAGGAATTTACACGTTGATATATTGCCTTCCCTGCACCAGCTGTCAACATGTGAAAGATAAAATTACTTTTGCGTTACTTTTTTCTACCAACTATCTGTTTAATGTAGAAACAAATTTCCCTCCTAAAAGGAATTTTGAATTTTTAGATACACCCAGAATTACGTGTGTGCATTTCCTATTGTAACCTTTTGAAGGCTTCTGTTAGGGCCGTACCGTCCATTGTAATACTACTCTGAATTTCTCTATTTCCCCCCTGCAAGTTATTTTCTGAGTATTCAAAGACTCAATGTTGCTTCAAGTTACAAAGACTGCAGAGGTCCAATATGAATAAATGAGCTAAGTGTAAGTGACATTTAATCAGTCTACTTCCTAAACCAGAGCAGGATCAAGGACAATGTAGACATTGGGAGATTATTTTCCCCTCTTATAACCTCTTTTCCTGCTACAAGCTATTTAATGTAGCTCCACATTCTGACAAAATGAAAGACAATTTTTGACCTATAGGTTCTAACTGAGAAGATCACCTGCTCCTGGCCATGCTTCCCGAGGGCCAGCCCTTCATCTCAGGGGACTGGTACATGGCTGCTGTCTGAGGGTGCTGCATCATCGCATTCTGGGAGGGTCCCATTCTTGATGACATCATTGGGTTGGGAGGGCTCGATACTCTGCTGTACGCAGGATCAGGCTGTTGGCTTATTCCTTAAAAGACAAAGGACAGACAAGATATTTCAGTTATCATCACCCAGTACTTTTAGTTTATCTTCTTGCAGTGATGAGAAGGGAAAGTCATGCTTTTTTGTAGAAGTATTTTTCAGAACGATTGATATTTACGTAGTTCGGGTTAATAACGAATGAAGACAGGGAAAAGAAAACCAGACAGACAAAACCAAAAAT